AACAGATGAATTTTAACACAAAATTCAAGCATTTCAGTGAACGAAGATGCAATTATTGCAAAAAATTAAGACACTTATAAAAAGAATGCAGATTCTTAAATAACCACAAAGAAAATGATAAAAACGAAAGTAACTCATTTTTCAAGAATGAAAAGCAAACGAATAAAGAAAATTATGGAAATAAACAGAAAATGAAAGTTGCTGTAAACGAGGATAAACATGAAGATGAAAACAAAAATAAGAATTTTGAGAAGACTGAGAATTACACATTCGAAGCCACCAGAGAAAGAAAATTTCAAAATTCAAACTGGTCAGTTGACTCAGGTGCTACTTGTCATATGACCGATAACAAACTTTATCACCAAATTAGATAGAAGCAAAACTGAGCAAATAACAATTGCTAACGGTACTCAGATGAAGTCTGAAGGTATCGGAGAAGGATACTTGTACTGTACAGATGACGAAGATAACGAAATAGAAGTGAGACTCGTAGATGTTCGGTATGTTCCTGACCCAGAAGGAGGATTGATATCTGTACGAAAAATTATAAAGAAAGGATTTACAGTTGAATTTGAAGAAGATATTTGCAGAATAAAGAAGAAAAATAAAACCATAGGAATTGCTAAAGCAGAAGGAAATTTATATACCATAGTTGAATCGCAAAGAAGAAAAGCCAAAATTGCAGCTGCAGAAAGAAGTGAAAATAGTATAGATCTTTGGCATAGAAAACTAGGATACAGACATTATGAAGCAATCAAGAGACTAAAGAATGATGACATGGCAACCAGAATAAGGATTGACGGAGAAGCCAAACAGGAAAAAGAATGTGAATGCTGTATCAGAAGCAAAATGACTGAATTGCCGTATCTCAAGCTAAACAACTGTAGAGCAAAATCAGTTCTAGACTTGATACATTCAGATATTTGTGGACCAATCGCTACAACATCACTAGGAGGAAAGAAATACTTCATAACATTCATCGACGATCATTCGAGTAACACAACGATCTATCTGCTAGCTACAAAAGATGAAGCTATCTCCAAATTAAAACAATTTGTAACCATGATGAAGAACAAATTTGGAAAGAAGCCAAAAGTCTTAAGAGCAGACAATGGAGGAGAATATACAAGCAAAGAGATTGAAGACTATCTAAAGGAAGAGGGCATCGATCATCAAACCTCCTTAGCATATTCACCGCAACAGAACAGTAGAGCAGAAAGAAAAAAATCTATACTTAATGGAAATGACAAGATGCCTGCTACTCGATTCAGGACACAAAAGAAAATTTGGGGGTGAAGCCGTAATGACAGCCACCTACCTACAAAACAGGCTACCATCAAGATCAGTTGAAAAACACCGTACGAACTATGGAATAATAAGAAGCCGAAGGCCTTTTAAAGAAAATAAATTGACAGAACCATGTTCAAATGCCACAACAGAGAAAGGAATTGAAACAGAAGAAATTCCACTATTACCGAGAAGATCCCAGAGAATGACTAAAGGAATCCCACCAAACAGATTCTCATACATGGCTAAGAATGAAGAAATCAAAGTTCCTAAAGACTGGCAAGAACTGCAAACTTTTCCTACCTAAGAAAAGGAACTATGGTTAAAATCCACGAAAAAAGAAATGGAAGCACTGAAGAGAAACAAAACATGGGAACTAGTCAATCTTCCAAAAGGAAAGAAGGCAATTGGAAACAAACGGACATTTAAAACAAAATCCGACGCTTCAGGAAATGTTATCAGATATAAAGCTCGTTTAGTAGCTAAAGGATATTGCCGAAAATTCGGGCACGACTATGACGAAACATTCGCACCAGTCGTAAAATATACCACAACAAGGACTATTTTGGCAATAGCAGCTCAAAAGAAGATGCACGTAAATCACTTTGATGTAAAAACAGCTTTTCTATATGGAGATCTTTAAGAAGATATACATATGAAACAACCAGAAGGTTACATCTCCGCTTCAGAAGCAAATAAAGCCTGTAAACTAAGTAAAAGTATCTACGGACTAAAACAGGCAGCCAGAAACTGGAATCACAAGATAGCTGAAATCCTGTGCAAACAAGGATACGTTCAAGGAAAGGCTGATCCATGTTCCTTCACACTAATCGAGAACAATGCAAGAACTTACATAATCGTTTACGTTGATGACATATTAGTCACGAGCGACAAGCGTGAATCAATTCAAGAAGTTGAACGAATTCTCAAAGAAATATTAAGAGTATGATCGAAAAATTCGACGGACAGTCACCAAAGAAACTAAGCTATACACCCATGACTACGAATTTTACGAAGAACCAGGATGACGTTTTTCCCGACAATCGGAGATATAGGGAAGCAGTGGGAGCACTTTTATATTTAGCAACAGTATCAAGACCTGACATAGAAAATTCTGTTGAAATACTTAGCAGAAAAGTAGAAAATCCATCAACATCAGACTGGAACGGTATCATTAAAATCATACAATATTTGAGAGCTACAATTAATTACAAATTACATCTAAAATCCAATGGTGCACCACTCATCAAAAGCTTACAGTGACGCTGATTGGGCAGGAGATACCTCTGACAGAAAATCCACATCCAGATATATATTTCAAATAGGATACAGTGCGGTATCATGGGGAAGCAAGAAACAAAATTGTGTCGCCCTATCTTCGACAGAAGCCGAATACATCGCTCTAGCCTTAACCTTGCAGGAGCTACAATGGATTAGACAACTGATGGAAGATTTAGGTTTCGCTCAACAGGAAGCTAACATCATATTTGAGGACAATATATCATGCATAAATCTTTCCAGAAAAGAAAAAGGAAGCAGTTACACCAAACACATCGATGTGAAATATCACTACGTATGTGATCTACAAAATCAAGGGATATTAACTTACAACACTGCAACAATAAAATGATGTATGCAGACATGTTCATGAAACCTTTGCCCAGACAACAGCTGTAATTTTTGTTAAAAGAAATCGGCCTTACTCTGGACGGAACAGCTCATCGAGTGGGAGATTGTGGAGCAATTCATAATGACAGCGATGAAGCTGTACACTCCGACGTTAATTTCCCCCTCACCCCGCTAACTGTAATTGGACTTGATCCAAAAAGAAGGAGAAACATTCTCTCCTTGTATGACTCACTTCTCGCATTATGCAATGGACAGTGAACAACGCTTGTAATCATCGCTAGATATTTTTTCTTCTAATTTGTAATAAATATGTTATTTTGTGTTTGCTAATATAATGATCGTGTTCCTTACATTGGCAGCTGGGATTACACTTTATTAAGGTAAGAACTTTAATTCTGTTTTATTCATCTGCTCGTCTCGATTTAGCGAAGTTGTAATAGTAAACAAAAATGAACCACGAATACCTTCAACAATAACCACCTCTATCTTTGTGCTCCTTGGCTAACATATGCCAGATGATACATACACGATGTTTTTGGACACATGTGCTCTCTCTCACAAAGCAGAAGCATGCCATAATTTTTCACTGGTGAAACGACTTTGGTTGCCTTTTATATGTAATCTAGAGAAAAACTAAGTGCTTTTCAGATGGCCAATATTACTTTTTTTTTTTTTTTTTTTTTGTGTGTGTGTGTGTGCAAATAATGAAGTGTTAAGCCAAACTGCATAAAAACCATTAGAAATTTAACCCTTTGATGGTTATGAACGAGTTCAGCTCGCAATCGAATCGTGCTTCATAATGCGCACAAACGATTTCCGTTCGGGAGCAAGATTTCGACCGAAATGGTTAGAAATTAGCACTACTCGCATAGTGAAAATTTTTCCCCAATGTGCGCTGATGAGCTGAGCTCGTTCGCCATTATTATTGTGCATTGATTATGTTACAAAGGAATCCTACTCGCAAAATTTACTTAGTTTTACTGTCTACAGATGGCAGTGCGGGTTCCATGAATTTCTTTTCATAATGAAGGGGGAAATTTTTTTTCATCTTGTTCTTTTTATGCATATTTTGGGGTGTTTGTAAAGTAGCATGGCTCAAAAGCAAAAGTTAGATAATTATGATGGTGATACAAAAAGCTTATCAAGTTTTGAGTCTGATGAAGACTTTGTTCACAGTATATCAAGCTCAGAAGACGATTCAAGTGATGAGGAAGATTTTTCGAGTGTTCAACAGTGGTGTAAATTGATTCAAGTTCTCACACTCCTAGCCGATTCAGTTTTACTGGTTAGTTTAGTTTACAATTTAGTTTTAAAGTATATCAGACAAAAAAAGATTTTTAGGTAATTACTGTATTTAAATGCTTCATAAAGTTTTACATTAGTTGTATTTATTTAATATTTGTCTTATATTTATAATTAATTATTATTATTTATATAATTGATTTTTAAAACGCATGAGGTGAGCTATCTAAGGCATTGCCAGAGATGGGTGACATTTTCAGAAGAACGGCGGGGGAAAACAGCAGCCACTTTCGACAACTGTTTGCTCGTAATACTGCTAGAATTAAGTAAACGAAAACTGCTCATTTCCCTAACCATCAAAGGGTTAAAGAATAAGATTAAATTAGAAGATATAAGTTATAAATCGGTTTAATGAGAGAATGGTTTGAAATCAGGAGTCTCCCGCCTCATTCAGTAAAGTCGGCAACTCTGCACGACAGATTTAAATTTTTTTTTATTAGCATGAATTTTAGTTCAAAATTCTACTTCCGATCAATGACAATAATAAAAAGAATTAAAACAAAATTCTAACTCAGAAATTTTTTATGAATAGGGAAAATACTATGTGAAAAAGAGCTGCTATAGTACCCCTTCTCACTGTAGAGTACAATACCCCTTCTAACTACACGGTACATGCAAGCTATTTGATTGATGAAAATACATATATTTAAAGAATTAAAAGCTAAATTTATTTGTATTCATTTGGGAGACGATTTTATTTCTAGTACATAATACCTACATATTTTTGAATAAATACGAAATGCAGCAATAAAATGTAAGAAAAATATTTGTAAAGTGCTTACCACATGTTAATAGATTCTGTATTAATGCTTTTCATAAGATTGTCAAGCTCATTTATTTCTTGGACAGGATCAAAACCTGCTATTTTTAATAAAGCTAAAATATTTTCATCTTTTGCATCCATTATAACAAGAGAAATTCGTGATCCTTCTTGCAGTTGGGACCACACTGATGGGATCTCAGTTAGACTGCTATATAAAAGAGAAAATATTACTTTCTGTAATACAAAATATATATTAATACATTCATTCTATCTCATTATTAAATAATGACAATTGGTAGGTTGGTTGATGGGATTTCTGGTATATAACCTAAAAGGTTATGATGAGCCAGATACAGTCATATTACTTTACTTTAAAAACAGATACAACAAACTTAGATGATAAATTTAAATATAAAACCAGATAAAATCACAATACATATAGCACTAAAAATAAATTAAGCTCTTTAAAAACCATTCAAATTAAATAATAAAAACTAGTTTCTCTCAACTGAAACAGATTTGACCTTTTTTCTAATTAAATGGTCAAGAGACAAGTTGGAGCTATTAAAATATTTTATTTTAAGCAAAGACACACATACATATTCTGTTAAACTGTGATGCATCAAAAAAGGGGCAATACACTTTGAGCAAATGGGTTCACTATCAGCATTTAGAGGACAGCATAACAGGAGAATGGCCTATTCTAAGTTGAGTCAAAAAGGACTTCCTCCCTTCAGCTTCTACTAACTTCCCAGTCTTCTACTCTAAATTTTACACTTCTCAATTTGTTGTGAAACTGAATGTTCCAAAGTCATGGTCATTTATTGATGATATTCTGCTTGATAACAATGCTGATATCTTTAAAAGGAAGGAGCTCATTATGCAGCTCAACACTGACAACACTTTGCCAGCTTACTGCCTTTTACTCTCACATGTCCAGGAACCCAAAAGTTCAGTATCTGGTAACTTCATTTCCTCAAGTTAAGCTTATCACATCAATAATTACTGGATTCTGCATGTCAGAAAAAGTCTCTAAAGCTTTTAATGCACTAAATGAGCCATTATAAATTATATATTTCCTATGGCATAGTTTAGAAATGAAAGAAAGACATATAGCAGATAATTATTAGGTTAAAACTGAGCAAATATGCAAACAGATGCCTTCCAATCACTGCCAATCACATTAAGATTAAATGATTAATTCAATTTGAACTGTCTGTTAATATAAGAATATATCTACCATATTTTTCCCTATGTTCAAGAAAGAACTGCCAGTACTGTATTTCTGCTTGTTACCGAGATGGAATTTTAAAATATTTTACTGCTCTTTACTGTACACATCAGTCATGCCATGTTCTTGAATAAATTAGTGAACCCTTATACAGAAAGAAGACAGAGAAAAAACAGCAGCTTGCACATGTCATCAAGCAAAAGCACCTTACATGGATGATCAAGCTGTGATAATATATTAACTATAAATTCTTTAAAAAAGGTTGTGAAATTCAGAATTTTTTTATAATTGTTAAGAAATACATTCCACTGCTAGACTTATCCCCCCCTGCTTACCTTTAACACTATGCAGGTAGTTTAGCTTCTCTGGTCCTTTTTTCTATTCTGTTTTCATTTTTCCATTTAATTTACAAAACTTGTAATTAATTGTGCTAGCAATCTGGTAAATGATGAACTGCAAAATAGTTTGTCTTGCTTTCAGAAGTATGTGCCATTTTCTTGTTATAGCCTTAATGCATTTTTACTGTTCAAATATATTGCTTTTCGTGACATTTTACTACTACTTTAGAAAATAAATTTAAAAATTCATCAGTAAGAGGAGATGAAAAAATATAAACTAATAACACTGAGCGAATGTGGCTAATGGACTTAAAGATGCAATGCAAATCTTTCATAAATTATTGTGAAAGCAATGAGAATTTTCTAATCAATAATTCTAACAACAAAATTAGTTCAAATGATCTGGAATTGAATGAGAAGATATTCTATATTTTCTACTTTGCTTTTGTCTTTTTACAGCCAGTCCAAGAGTTCATTTTATTGTTAACATGAGCGCCAGAGAATTTCAATTTTTTCTTAAGCATTTACTGTTTATTCCCTGGTTTGTGTCATCATTTTGCAAACAGATATATATTAAACAAAATATTTAAAATAATTTTGTTCAAAGACATTTTAATAGGAAATAGAAATTAAAATGAATGGGAAAAAAAGATTCACAGAGAAGCAAGATAGTATTGCCTGTAATTAATATCAGATTTTGTTTTAAATTTTACAGAAGTATTACAAAAGAAGCATGCAGCTTCAATAATTAGTAAATAGAACACAGTGAGAGAGAGTGATGAAACCCAAATGGACACCTGCATTGTATATAGGAAGCTTTTTCTTAGCATTACACATGGTGAACTATGACTTTTATTTTTGAACAAATATTTTATACTTCTAAATTTCTTATACTAGGCCAATTGATAATAATTTGGACTAATATGAATAAAATGATAAAGCGTACTTTTATTATTACAATACATACATAAATATTACAGCTAATCTCCACCCAATTAGATGCACTGTTCCCATTTTCAAATATGGTTTTTAGATGTGTGCAGTAAGCCATTTTTTAGCAAATCCACTCATGGATAGTTTGCTTTAGTTCCTATTGCTGGTAAATAATCAACCCCACAGGTTCTCCTTAGTCTTTCAAAAAGTGCACAGCTCAAAGCAACAATTCCCGGTGCATTACCACACACTGTTGATTCTGCAGGTCAATGCACTTCTGGAGCATCATCTGACACAAATTTATATAATTTCAAATCTTCTATGCCTTACTACTAATCCACCACTGCTCATTCTTTTCATTTCCTAATTCAGTTAAATACAAAGCTTTGAGCAGGAGCCTGCTCGCCATGTATATTATGAATTAGTACTCCTGACTGTATCTCTTTCCAAAGACATTAAACATTTCTTGACCATGTGCATCACCAGTAACTGCACCATGTACACAGATTTGTCTACGATCTCTTATACTGCAATTCACATTCTGACTCACTTGTGCTGTTGCACTGAGACTAGCTGACACATTTTACAACAAACTGTTGAACTGCCATTACCTACAACAAACATCACCACATTGTTCAACTATTTGTTACAATAATATGAACAGCAATATGAATCAAAATCAGTATTAAACATATATACTACTTTCAGTCACAGACAGGTTATCAATATTGAAAATTTTCATTGGACTAGGATAATGGATTTCATTTGACTGATTTCTAAAATCTAAATCACCTTCCCTACTGTAGACATGGCTATTTTGTTGAGTCACAAGAAACCCGACTTCTTACACTATCATATAGGATGCTCGAAGAGGGAATTTCACATTTTCCACACAAAACTCTTCAAGTTTCTTCGTAGTATCTGTCATAGTGCCAGCCCTCCCTTTTTTTACAAATAAATAAAACTGCAAATATCTTTTGCAATAACCTGCATCATACTATTATGCGAAAGCTAATCAATATTTTACCTTTAGCCAGGTGCAAGAAATAAACCGTTAAATATTGTTTTAAGTGCTATTATTGATACTGCAACTATTTTTCATCATTTCTCCTAGAATTTCTTATAATTGCCTCTTAACTAATTATTTTATCATGATTCCAATATGCTTGAATCATAAAAATTAGTTGTCTACAATGGAGACTAAAGCTGTACAGTTTAAAAAAAAAAGAAAAGAAAAGAAAGAAATTTTGTCAACTAACACAACTTGTGTCAAAAATTATAAATGAAGTTACATTTTTAAGATACCATTCAATGGCAGAGAAAAGTTAAACTGCTGCAACAAAAAGAGCAAAGGAAAGTTTGAATCATCAAGACTGGGTTTTTTATATCTTTGAGTTAATTTGGTTGGTGCTAAGACGTAATAACGAAGATATCTCAAATTCAAAATGTAAGATCAATTGTTTGTAATTTTTTCTGCTGCATTTTGATTCTTTAACCAAGAGTGATGCAGTGTGTCACTGCCAAATTGCAAAAGAATCTCTGCTGTGATATTCACACCAGTCTAAGAGAAAAGTACCATTTATAATTTCAGTGGGGGGGTAAAAAATTTTTTTCACTTTTTTCCTAAACTATTTAACATAGCCATGAAAAATGTAAAATTTAGGTGAAAATGACAATATTCCAATTTAATACAAAGTACTTAAGTGAACTTTTACAAGTGAACTAATTATAAACTGAAACAAAATTAGACATTTTCGTGACAAATTTCAGAAAAAGGAAGAAACAGATTTCCCTTAAAATTTTTTAATATTTTATAAAACAAGTATTACCTTTTTGATTCAAGCTCAGAGTTAAGCATATTAAGGCATGACATAGCATCATTTTCTCCAATTAATATAGAATATAACGTAATATCTAGAAGAAAAAGAATATCATCATGTTTTACAAAATCAACTAATTAACATATTTAAGAAACATATCCCTGGCATTCAACATTTAAATAACCACACAATTATATGTCAAATTTCTGATTTGTGAATTTCATATAAATGCATATTTCCTTGAAACCTTGATTTTATATCAGGGTTCGTAGCCACATTTTAGTTAAAAAAATAAGCACTTATAAGCACTTTTCAAGCACATTTTAAGGAAAAAAAATAAGCACCTCTCTAATAATTGCATTATACACAACTGCATAACCTTAAAAGAAAAATTAGACTTGTAATTTAAAATATGAGAAATTCAGTATTTATTAAGAAAGGATGAGCATTACTCAACTATGGAAAACAATTACATTCTTTTTTTTCTTAATTTTAAAAAAAAAACAGTTCAATTTACAGAACTAGTTTACAATGAGAGGGAAAAAACCTATGTAGAACTAAATTATATTACAAGATTTAATGATGAAATTTCAGTTCAAAATAAAGAAAATAAATAATAATAAGCCATATTTAGTATATTCACTTGGTACCTAAATAAAAACAATTTATTTTCCCACTCATATTAATATTTAAATAATTTAATCAAAATTCTGAACATTTTCTAAATTTTCATTGTATAACAGTTTTCCCTTAACAGATATTGCAAGCAAAGTAATTTAAGTAAAAATAAGTAAAAAAAGGAACTTTTCTGAAATCAGAAGATGGGAAATTGCTTCATGCAGTCATCCTTTAACAGTAAAAGCTTAACTAACTGGCATACTTGGAAACTGCCAAATATCTGAAAATTCTGGATAGAGCATAACTGGTAAAAGAGGAAGGGGGTAGCCGTTCTTTAGAATTTTCAGCTAAATAATGCTTTTGACATTTTGATATGTGCATCATATAAAAAATAGCCCAATGGAACTGAAAAATAATCTGCTTAGCAAGCACAGTAAAACTCTTTTATCTCTGTGAAATATTGCATAAGTTATTGCGCGATACGTTCGCCTTAATTCTTCTGCATGTGATATTACACAATCGGAATCAGCAGCTGCCAGTATTTAGAGAATAAATAACTAAATAAAGGAAAAACACCTCTTTGCTTCGTCCAGTTTTCACCGTCATGCGCCCGTGCGGAGTATTTATCATTGAGCAGGACACTTCGCGATACTTTTATTGATTAATAGAGATTTAACAATCTGGAGTGTTTTTCATTCTAATTTTAAACAGACTGCATTAAATTTCTGAAATACAATCGTTCTTCGCTTGGGTTATAGACCGCAAAACTTTTAGTCCTATTCAATCCAGGTTGGAAAGTGACAAAAAAAAAAAAAAAAAGAGTCCATTGCTTGCTTTGCTGCAAACTGTAACGGTTGCAATATTCGGGATTTTGCAGAGAAGGGGAGTACTGTATAATGCATTGGTAAAGGAAAAAACAAAGAAATTATTTTGACTATTCGATTACTTTCACTTTAATTATGCCATTCCGAATATAATTCCTTAGAAAACTAATCTGTGTTAAAACACACTTACCCATTTTTGAAGTTTATCTATACTTTAGCAGTTACTGCAAATATATTATTATAAATATTCATACATATGCTCATAATATAAGCATACCGATCATAATAAATGCAAATATGAACTGAGCACATGGAACGAGAATGTAAATTATTAAAATCTTGATAGAAATTCAAATGTGTGTAACATTGGATCGGAGCAAGATAATACGGAACGTACTGGAATTTTCTACCGCTTTCGAAATTCTTTGACCAATAGAACGACCATTTGTCTGAACTCACGTGCACCAAAGGTTATGTTAATGTAGAGAAAGGGGCAAAAAGCTATTTTTGGAAGTATGATTCACCATCTGATGTTCCATATAAGGAAGAAAATGTGTTTATTTAGTTTCAGCTTTTGATACAGGAAAAAAAAATGTGCGTTCGGGGAAAAAAAAGAAAAAAATTTAAAGGAAGGGGGAAAAACACTAAAACCAAAAAGAAGCACTAAAACCAAAAAAATCAGTGCTTTAGAGAAAAAGTAAGCACCTATAAGAGCTTTTATATTTTATTTTCAAATATAAGGACTTACAAGCACTTGTCAGAATCGCTACGAACCCTGTATATATATGTATGAGACCAATACTGTGAGAACTTTATCAGTAAATCCATAAATATAAGTTTAGTAAATAAAAATATATTACATTTACACTCAGGGCAAGGCTAACCTAAAAGTATTGTGCAAGATAAGTGGTGAACATTAGCCAAATATTTCTGTAAATTTAATTTAGCAAAGATGTTTCAATCACTATAAATCATTCAAAAAACTTGTTAACAGACAAAATAAAAGCACAAATTAATCCTTAAATTTAACATTTGTTCAGTTTTATATAATTTATTTCACAACTCTTATTTAGGTATTATTATTTAGATGTTGGAATAAGCTTATTTTACTCCCTGAATTTATTTTACGTCAACCGCTTCATTTGACAGCCAATTTATGGAAAGTCTGCGGATTTTTCAATTAAAATTTGAATCCAAATTTTGGAACATATACAAATAAACTTTCTACCAAAAATTAAATTTTTAATTACTTCGAACATGAAGTAAAATACAAAAAGTCAAGTTTCTAGGATGACGTAGCATATATTTACCTTCCATTTGCATACACTTGCGGAAAACAGACAGGTGATAATAAAACAGTATGGAGAATGAATTGGAAGTTTTAACTGAAGTAAATAAAACAGAAATAAATATCCAGATGTGGTACAATGATTTTTAAAACAATGCAAAGTACACAGAAATGCACTGTGAGGAGAATAAAGGACTCTTTTGGCCTTCAATTCTCAGGTTAGTGTTGCCCAAATTAAAGTAATATCAAAATGCCTGTTTCCTCTGCATTTTCAAAGCCTCTGAAGACAATTCTGTAAAATACTACTGTAACTGTTTTATATATAACAAATTTTTAGTTTGCAGTATTTTATTATTGATATATTTTCACTGCAAACTTTGACCCCAAACTATTTAAAAAAACTATATAATAATAATAAAAAAAAAATCTTGCAAATTAAACTTTAATCAATTCTGCATCAGCCAAAATAAGGCAAGTTTGAAGACTGATAAATATAAAATCTTTTAAATAATTAGCATCTTTTACCATTCTGTATCTTCTATTAAAATTCTCTTTTATCATCTTAAACTTCAAAATAGAATTAATTGCTTACAAATTCAGTTATACATCTTTTAAGAATTTACAGAATACTTTTTTGGGGAAAAAATCAATCAATTGTTTAAAAGCAACTGACATATTTCATCCCAAAAATTAAATATAAGAATTTACGTTTTCCTAACTTATAAATAAGCATTCTTTATGTGTTATATCTAAAAATTAACAGTGAATTAGAAATTTACCTGTTATTCTTTTAAGAATTAATTTTAATAGAACACTATAATTAATAATATTCCAATTTCTATACACTATAATATTCCAATTTCCTAAAAATAATTTTTAAGTTTTTTAAACTTCCAAATAAGACTTCTCTATTATTTGGACTATGAGACTATACTTTAAAAAATAAAGGAATTAACATCTCACACCAAAAATTAAATGTTGTGATTAGCGGGGTTTAATATTTTATCAAAGACCTTCATCATAGATCTTCTTACCATCTTCATTCAGCAATGAAATTTCACATATTTCTTTAGACTGCTTAAATATATGAGCTTTAAGAAATTTCCCTTCAGTATGCAGTTTGAAGGAAGCAATTTCATCTTCACTCCAATCAGTTTTTTCATTCTTTTTACCGTCAACGAGCTTGCAGCACACTGCCTAGATTTAAAAATAATAATAAACATAGTTATTTAAGATAAATGTTTCAAAATTCGATATAACTTCAGATTTATGCATTATGTGCAATAAATTTATGTGTATGAACATCAGCTCAAATTAATACCATATATACATATATATCCATGATTTTTTAAAAGAAACATCTTGTACGTCAAATGGCATCACATGAAGCCTGACCATGTTCAAAATGTTACATGAGAAAAACAAATATTCTAAACATGATCATTTGAGATACAACTAATTATATTAATGACAACTAATTTCATTAATGAAACTTTAATAAATTCCTCTTTTAAAATAAAAATTAAATCATAAAAATGAAAAAGTGTCCGATTTTTCGATCAAATTCAAAATGTCTATTTCATAGCATACTGTTGTCAACACAACACTATCTCTGATACAACATTTGATTTAATACTTAACCTAATATTATAAATTTTATTTTTCAAATCATTTTCTAAAAATTAGGTATCTTTAAAAAGGGTTCTTTCCCCCCAGTTCTCAATATGTATAAACATGTACCTCCTGCATAAAATACTTTAAATACATTCACAGTTAATATTCTATAAAATACTGAAATTTTACAGAAATTATAAAATAAAAAACAGAATACTGCAAAATTAAATACCTGTGCAGGGTACTGGATGATAGTTTGTGGTAAAGTAAACAAATTAGTTTTTGGCACGGTAGCAGTATTACCATAATCAAAAAAATGAACTACTGATTGACCATTCTTTTTAACCTAAAATAACAAAAATATACATGAGAAAAGACATATTGAGCAAATCTAACATATACACAATCTAAAACTCTAATCGTAAGAAATAAGATGTGAAATAAACAATCTTTAAAATTTTATTTTTAAACAAATTACTCAACATGGTTAGTTAATTAGTTAGTTAATAATGTAATATAAAAAAAAATCATAACTGATTAAAATGCAGTCTATTGAATCTGACATCAACAAGAACTAAGAGTTTGATCAAACTTATGAACATAAAAAAGTGCCTTTTCTATATGCAGAAATATAAATTAATTAAATATTTCTGCATATATACTCTATATGCAGAAATATAAATATACAACTTTTTATTTTAACTAATTCTAGAAATTTACTGACAGCTTAAAAACAGAACTAACGGATGAGAAATAAGAATATTTAATACTACAAAAATATATATTTATTCTTAACTGCCCATACTTCCAAATATGTTTTTAGTGAAACTGATAATATGAAGCTTAGCCTAAACTCTTACCCCCCCCATCTTCATTATGTTAAGGATATTAAGCCAATAATCATTTATAAGGCTTACTCATACTCTCATTCTACTATGGCCTGCGTTAAATGAAGGAAGCTCCACTGTGTTTTTCTGGCAACTGTGGCGAGCATATTTGGCATGAATTTGTTTCTTGGTTGACGCCACGCGAGAAACAAAGACCAGAAAGGAAGCTCCGTGAAATGTGAAATGGTATCGTTAAAAGACAGAAGAGATATTGACAGTATGTTGAATGCAGAATTGTTAATTTTTTGAGGTAATGAAAGTTATTTTGGTAGTATCTAACAATAATGATAATCTGGTTTTTAATTTCACTGAAGGACTTAGTTCTTAAATATCAGAAAACAAAACTCATAAGATTTCATAGCATATTAAAATACAATGAGCTTTCGTGAAAAGTATATCGTGAAACTTGTGTTAGCCAAGTAATGGAATTATTTAAATCCTTTGACTTGTTTAGGTCGTTTAATATCATCAGAAAAACATTACTGAAATGAAAGTGCTGATGACTCAACATAATCTAACAGGAAAGGCATCTGATGTTGCCTATTGCCTGATTTTTCTCTTGTAATGCTAGTGATACGTTAATATTATTACTATTATTATTAGAATTGTATTAAATTAGAAGTAACCGGAAGAAAAGAATTCTACAGTTTTGGCATAAATTTAGATTATTCGCAAAGTAATTTTTGTGTATGTATTTGCAGTATATGATTTTTTGCGATTATACTATAAATGTAAAATGTTACCAATCTTATTAGTATACGTTTGTAATCAACCAACGTTGGTATTAGTCTTGAAAATAGCACTTTTAAAATTTCGTCTAAAATTAATAAAGTTTAGAAAGTTAACTTGTTTTCAAATAACATTACATTAAAGCAAAAAGTTTTTGGAAAACCTTAAAATAATTCTCATTTAAAAATTATAAAAATGGAAAGTAAAAAAAAAAGTTATATATATTTTCCATATGGAAATTTAATTTGCCATACGATACTAGAACAATTTAGCTGACACAACTTTGATGTCTTTGTCAATTTGGAAAATCAATTTAAAAAATTAAAAACATATTATTAGTTTATTGAAAGATTTGCTTTATAAAAATTTAGGAGTGATATTATTTTAATATTGTGATTCTTCACACTTGAATTACACAAGACGTCAAGAAGAATGTTAACTCATAATACAGGAAATTGGTCTTCAAGAAATGTTTAGAAATGCATTTAAAATATTTTCAAATTTGCATATGATTTTGCTGAAAATTATAAGCATTATTCAAATAAGCAATAGTTTTAAGAACTTTATTTTTAATTTATCAAATAGCCTAGTGGCCAGCCTTTTGGCCACTAGGTCATCAGGCTGTATGCTTTCCAGTATTTTTCAACAAGGCAATGAAAATGATTGTGGGCATTTGTCAGTATCAGCAGTGGTCATATCTTGTTCAGTTAAGCACAAAATACACACAGAAGAGTCAGCGATATTAAAACAAAGTAAATGGGCACAGATACAGTCATGCAATGCATATCGTGTGAAATTTGTATTCACAATGTAAGTTGCAACTGCTTATATTTTGTAATTAGGAATGTCATATGCAAACACATATGTCTTGTGCAAAAAATAAAAGTCGGGCAGAGTAGTTTGTGTGAACCTAAATTTGATACCAAATCAAAAATTTCAAGTAGAGAATGTCAGTTGGAAGCACCATTATTGTACACACTGTTTCAAATATTTATTCAACTAAAGCAGTTCAAAAATCCATACTCTTATTCAAAGCACACCTAGTTCTCAGATTAATAAATCTGTTGAATTAATTCAGAAGATTAACCCCTCGAAGCCGGCTGGTACAGCAGTTGTACCAGGAGAATGACTTTCTCAGACGCCTGCATTGGTACAACTGTCGTACCATCCATGCCCTCCCCATTTTAGAGAATCGCCTATCAGTAGATCTTTGGGTGGTCCATTGTCGCTGCTCAGAGTAGCCGCTGGCTACGCATTATTTCCCTCTTCTTATCAGTTTGGCTACATTTTGGCAAAAACCGCAGGTTTCGTCTCGTGCCAATATACTTGAAAATTAAATAGAGGCCATCTCTTTCTCAATCTGTCTCATAATTTTAATGCTAATTTTTTTAGTACTGACTTTTGCTATGATTAAAACGTCAGCGATTTTGCACGCTCTTTAAGCTTACCATATTTAATGTTTTTTAATCATAACAAATAAGAATAGATTAATATTTTAGATTTAATGCCCTTCTAGAAAATAGGTAAAACCGCTTTTATCATTTACTTCCTTTTCATACAATGAATAATAAGATTTTATTTTGACATTTTTTTGTGGAGTGCATAAAACCCTTAAGAACTGTTAACTCTTTCAAAGTGCTTCTTTTATGCAGGCAATTTTGTCTGATTTATCAGGAGATAAATAAGAGACAATTGTATGCATACTAGTTTTTGTGATTTTCATTCATTCAGTGATTGCTTTCAATGATTTTCATTGATTGTAAATTAAAATCAATTTATCTTTAGACCCTCTTCTAGGATGAGATCTGCCAAAAAGTATTTAAATATCAATAAAGTTCACGTTACTTCTAAATTGAATCAAAACATCAGTTACATTTTATAAAATTTCGGCCAGTTTTATTTGCTGAAATTCTTATACTCCTCAAGAGATAAAGGGAATTCAGACAAGTTGATAAAAAAATATCTTTAAAAGAGGTTGTTATTTTGTCTGTAATAAGGTGTATGTCAACTTACTATTAAATGTATGAAAATTAGGATTGGATTACGGAAAAGCACGCGAATGCTATCTGCTTAAGGGGATGGATGCTTTCGTGTAAACCTTTTTAAGAGAAAATTGCTTGCATTTACATTCCTGGTGGAAAACTTCACATGTAATCAACCCGTTCTTCGGTATTGATTGGATTAATTTTGTTCGCTTACTGAATTACATCAAAGCACACAACAATTACCTGTATAAGGGGAGTTACGCCTTCGCGAAGGACTTTCTAAGAGAAGCTGGCTTGCATTTACGTTACACAAAAACCGTGAATCCAACTATTTATCCAGGATTCAAACCAAGCGAGCTACAAGTGTTCAGCCACCTTTACCGCTCTACTGAAGAGCCCGTAAAAATATTGATAAAGGAAAAGTATTGAAATAACCGGTTTAATTTACTAACCTATATTTCTCAATCGACAGTACATAAATTACGCATATGAGGGGGATTATTTGTGAATAAATAAACTGTATTGCACTTTTCTCCACTATTTCATATTACGATGGAATTATTGCATTTCAAAGTTATTTCTCATGAATTAATTTTGCTCTTCATGATTTTTGATATTTTCAAAGAGAAAATTCCACACTTTAAATAAAAAAATACATGAGAAGATACTTTATGCAAAATTTGGCGTAAACGGTTTTCTTAATTTTGCTTTGAAAATATTCCAGGGTAATCGTTTTCATTACTGGAAGAAATATGAAAAACAGATTTATTACTACATTGTGTCAACACCCAATATGTTCCTTATTCTTTTGAAAACGTGAAAGATTACTCTTTCTAAAATAAATTAGAAAATATATTATGTGCAAATAGAATATTCGTTGAAAATGAAATAGACTTCAACTTTGGATATAACGATGGTTTTAGACGAAATTTCTACCTATGAAAAGAAATTGACGTATAATTAATTCTTCATGAACATTTAAAACTGTTCTCAAAATTCTTTTGATGATTGCATGTATAAGTCACGGATTTTTTTTCTCTGCTAACATAAACAAAAGCCAATTTTACAAAGAAAAATTCTCGTTTAAAGATATACCTTCTTTGCCTGATAGTCCAATGTAATATTTGTTAAATTTAAATGATTAAACGCAACCAATGTATCTCGGATTTTGATTTTTATATTATAACAACAAAATTATCGAAAAAAGCAGATTTAAATCTCTGTTATTGTTATGTAAAGCTTTATTATTGCTGTAAGTTCATCTCAAAATCTAATTGTATTGAATCTCATTCTAATCATCTAATGGTAATAAATATTATTATTATTATTTCATTAAATTAGTCATTACCATTATTTTATTAATGAAAATATGTTATTAAAAATCGCATTCCAGGCTGCAGACTTACAAATCTAGTCCGTATTTACTATATTTTGTTAAATTTTGTTCTCGCTTTCTAATTTCTAATACGAAAATACGCGAATATAAATGAAGAGTGTGAAAACAAAGTTAAAAAAATTCACAAATTATTTACGAGATTGATTAGAAATAGTGAGTGAAATATAAACATTGCATACATTTTGTTCTAAATAAAGTGTGCACTGGATATGCATCCAGTACTGCATATTTATTTATAACTTCATTTAAATGAAAGCAAAATAATCATCGAAAAAATTGCATATCTAGCAACCCCTCTACTATGGGACGTAAGCGTCTGACAAACATGTAAATTTTACTTCATCCATGG